TTGAATCCACGTAGGGGTGGGTGTCCTCGCGGTATTCTCAGCCCGCGTGCGATTAGTGGTGGTCGCACAGCAGCGAAGCCACCTTACGGCGTACAGCTGACAACTTACTTTTATCATTATTATTATCAAAGGCTACTCGCAGTAACCGAGGTTCCGCTACGTACGGAGCCGATGGATTTCGTGTAAGGTGAGTAACATTACTTGGGAGTACTTTCAGTCCGAGTGCACAGTTCATCTTAGCCCAGCGGTTTTGATCATCGGCTTGGCTAACATTTAACGAGTCGCTAGTTGGTTCTGGGATGTTCAAAAATGTTACCCCATCGCCTTTCGATTGCTTGGGAGCCGCTTGTTCTACGGTTCCTTGTGACCTGAGATTTTTCCTGTTGGAGTGTTAGCGTTGTCTTTTAGGAAGAGGCCAGGATTAAAACAAGACGGGTCATCTGTTGCACCGTTAGTCACACCTTCCGTTGAAGTCGACTGTTTTTGCCCAGCTGATAGCGGAGGCGATCAAGAAATGTTCCGTCAAATAATAACTCAGTCAATGAGGGAACCCAAAATATTTAGGTTACACGAGTGTGTCTTAGCCGACGAACTGCCGAACACGTCGGTTATATCATATCAACATGTTGCCGGACTTGTATCAGAACTATAGACCACTTTGGATAGAACTCGGAGACCCGAATCGCTTGGGAGTATTTTCAAAGATGTGGCAGGACAACTGGATGGGATAAATTCAAGTTAACACAGAGAGCACAAAGATACTGCGGTGCGCTGGTGCATATCAACATCATAAGAGGATCTGAACACAATTCTTGGATCACTCCGTTTGTGACTCATTTCTCCGTGAAAGTATTGCGTAGAATTTTGTTTATTTACTGCGAAGTAATGAGCTAACTTCATCCCTGAGAAACGATGTTAAAGTTAACAACAATTATGCACAGCATGTCCGACCACTTAATGTGGACTATTCCAAAGCTATCCCTACAGATCACCGATATGTGCATCAGGAAAACACCCTGTGGATGCTTCTGTTGAGTAAGGCTGCAGTGTGCTCCCTTAAATGAGCTTGTCCATAACCTTTGTTTATATATGTCATCAACATAGAGGAACGATCAGCAATTCCATCTTCCATGTATAGTAATGTGCAGAAATCACTGGTCAATTTTGCGCATATGCACTAGCTAAACTCGAAGCTACTAACGAAGCGTGATAACAGTGCTTGTAACAATAGTCTGTTGTACTGGATAGTCCACGAATTCGGGATGGGTAATGCTACCAAAAACCTACGCCTGCACAGACTGAGGTTGAATGCCCAATGTTTTTGACAGCGTGTGCTTCGGATGGACTTCATCATCATCATCATCATCAACAGCAGTACATCAGCCATTTGAACTGAGGCTTCGCTGCCATACAACCATGAGGACCTAAGAAATAAAGAATAAGAAGAGGGAGAGAAGAGGGACTTACCTGAAAACCTTAATGCCCTAAGCATACATTCAGGGTCAAGGCGCCTACACCTTGCGTAGACAACATTCCGTCACAAACAGCTGGCTATCGTGCAAAGATAAGGCGGCATCGGCGAGACAGCTTCCTTGCGGCTTTCACTGCCACGCGTCATAATCAGCCATTACCCCGCAGATAACTCAGCACCAAACACACTTTAAACAGGCAATCCGATTAAGAGATGGCAGCAGACGCGTCAATGGTGTCGTTTGCCAGCCATGTCCTGTAAAGTCTCGAGCCAAGCACAAGGTGAATCACGTGGACTCCAACCCGGAAGGCGAGACGGACCAACGGCACCCAGTTTGGTCGTCAGTGACTTCATTCCCCGCTGCCAAGTCAACTTCTGTCCACCTCGAGCCTTGCGCCATCCTACACATGGTAGACTGAACGAGGCCCTCCTAGGTAAGCGGTGACCAGGCATGCATAGCACGTGCCCGAGCCAACGTAACTTATTCAGTGCTATCTGATGTTCTAGGGAGCTAGCATGATCATCACCACCTAGTACTCGCCTACGCACATCATCGTTGCGGACACGCTGGTGCCATCCGACACCAGCAATGCTTCGCAAACAGCGATGATCAAAGACTTGAAGGCGCCTCAGATCTTCAGACCGAAGGGGCCAAGTTTCACTACCATAGAGCAGAACGGCCTTTGCAATGCGTGAGCTCACGTCAGTTTCTATGCGCCCATCATTGCTGATGCAGCTGCCAAGATAAGTGAATTGATCAACCACCTCGAGTTCCTCGTTAGCAAGCGCCAAGGGGTCATCGAGTGGCTGGTGGTCCTGCAGCAACACTTTGCACTTTCAACGTGCGAATTGCATATCAAATAATGGGACCACTCTGGGCAGGTTATTCAGGGTTGATTGTGCCGCCTCAACATTGTCGAAAAGCAAGACGATATCGTCCGCATAATCTAGATCAACTCACCGTTCACCAGGCAGCCCTTCAACACCTACATCGTGAGATTCCGCAAGGGAACACTCCATGATAGAATCCACGACGAAATTGAACAAAAACGGGGAAATCGGGCAACCCTGTCGAACGCCACTTGTGGTCGGAAAGCTATCCGATAGGGCACCATAGACCCTGACGCGGCCTCTAGTGTTCGAGTATAGAGCACGAAGGATGTTCACATATTTCGTGGGAATACCTTTCCCCACAAGTATTTCGTAAAGTATCGATCGGCTGAATCGAACCCACTCATGAAATCGAGAAGCACAGCTATTGTCAGTCTGCGGTATGCGTGGCGCTGCTCTAGCACCTGCCGCAAAGTAAATCTATGGTCTATCCAGCCACGTCCTGGGCGGAAACCGGCCTGCTCTTCCCTAATCCGAGATTCCCGTTCTGCAGTGAAGCGACGAACGATAACCGAGGCCGGTAATTTTGTCACAACTGGCGTTAGGCTTATACCCCTGTGGTTCGCAGTCTGTGCGACTGCCCTTCTTGTATATTGCCACTATAATCGATTCGCTCCAATTAGCCGGCACACTCTCTTCGTTCCAGATACGTTCGAATAGGGAGGTCAGTGCTTTGCAGAAGACCTCACCTCCATCCTTAAATAGTGCAGGTGGTAGGGAATCCGGGCCAGCTGCACGAAAACGATTGAGGGCTGTGATCGCGTTTCGGACCTCGGCCTCCGACGGAGGCTCTAAACTAACCGTCCATGGCTCGTCCTGCATCACCTGAGTAGGAAGAGGTCCGGGAGCAGGGGGCCAGCTGAACTGATGTTCAGTGTTCAGCCCAACGAGCCATACGGCGCTCCTTATTGTGTATCAGCGCACCCGCGCTGTTTCTGATTGTTTCACTGACGCCTGGTTTTCTCGGACCAGTGGTGCGTATTAGCTGGAAGAGCTTCCGGTAATTGCCTACTGCTCCTGCCTCCTCCATTTCTTGAGCCCGACTGGTCCACCAGGCTTCCTTGTCAGCACGTAGGCTCCGCTTTAGTTCACGCCTAATAGCCCGTCTGGTCACATTGTGTTCAGAACCAGCCGGGAGGTGCCTTCTAGCTTCCAAAAGGTTCGCGGACCTCTCGGATATCCAGTGACTGGTGCGATGACGACTGATAGTGCCACAAGCAGATGCTCCTGCGTCGTGCATAGTGGCCGAGATTCTATTCCACTGAAGTTCAGTATCATTAGGACAAGACAGCGAGAGTTCGCTATGCAGTGCTTCTTGATAGGCTTGCCTGACAGAGGGCTGGGACAATTTCTCCGTTGCCAATCGGGGGAGACGTTTTGTGCGCCTTCCGGTAAAGTTCATGGAGAAACGACAGCGCACCAAGGCATGGTCAGAGTCGACACAGGTACTCCAGTACGAGCGGCAATCCAGAATGGAACCGCGCCACCTGTAACTTACGGCTATGTGGTCAATTTGGGTCCATCGCTGACCAGCTACAGGTGGACGCCAAGTGGCACTTCGGCGCCCACTGTGTCTAAAAGCAGTGCTAGTAAGAAACAACTGGTGCTCCGCACACAGTTGCAGCAGACGCTCGCCGTTGTCAGTCCGTTCGGCGTTAAGTCCATACTTACTACCCAGCTGAGCTTCTGAAGAGCTCAGACGCCCTACTTGTGCGTTCATATCCCCTGCAAGTACTATAATATCTGAACTAGTAGCACTGCGTAGCAGCGTGTTCAGTTCGTGATAGAAAGTGTCCTTGACTGCATTAGAACTGCAGTCCGTGGGAGCATAAGCAGAAATCACAAACAAACAGCGTTTTGTTTTACTTCGCGAATTCACCTTAGCTGATGTCGTCAAACGGGCTGCACATAAACGGCTGTTCACCGGAATCCACTCAACCAACGATGACTCAGCCTTGGAGCTGAGAATGATACCTACACCAGCTTGACCCGTGAGTGCCGCATCGGCGTCTCCGGATGCGTGCAACCAATAACGAGAGGATAATCCAGGTGCAGTTAATTCAATAACCCCGTTAGGGTCATTAATCCTAGTTTCGGACACACAACACACATCAACACCCAGTATGTTCAAGGTGCGTGCGAGTGCAGCCTGCTGACCTGTTTGTCTTAGATTGCGGACGTTGAATGTCGCCATGGAAACGGGACAGCGTGGCCTTATAAGGAACTTTTGCCGATAGGCGTCCGATAGGTGCTGTGGGACAGTGGCTGCAGATGGTTCTACTCCAGTAGCACTTCGGTTGCTGTCAATTAAGCTGGGAATTATAGAAGGAAGGTTAGTAATGGGGGCCGGGATGGGAGTAAGAGAAAAAGGTGGAAAAGAAAGAAGGGAGGCGCCAGCAGTAGCATGCTTTCGCTTATCCGCCCTGCTGTATGTAGCAGATAAGGCGACCCTTGATAATCTGCGCGAGGGCCGATGCAGGATGAAGTTTATGTTTGAAGAAAATGGACTTACCACACATTGGCTATCGTCAGTTCTATGTATCGATGCAACTTTATAAAATATAACTAATTGGAAAGCACATGGTTTAGTACTGACTTTAGTGTTACTTTGTCCCTCGGGTCTGTCAGCCTTCGCACACCTGAATATTCATTCGAGTCTACTTCGACGCTAAATTCGCCCAACAAGCACCAGAACGTCACAACGTCGTTTTGATCTGAAACTGCAGGACTAGTGATCCATATAGCTGAAGGTAGCATAAGCAATGCAGGTGGCAACCTAGATAATTTATTTCAATAGCATCATTGTTTTGGTTTGTTACTTTCTCCAGGTACAGGCTTAAATTTCACTGTTCGTGTGTCTGAATAACGGTAGATGGGCAGGATGCTACCAACTTATTAAGGGTTTGAATGATAAAAATGAAATTACCCACACTAAATGGAAGCATGCGTTATTGCACCAACCGAGCATATTTCATGCTTGTATGAATCTAATGTACAGCGATGCGGCTGGACCCATGTGCTGTGATTGCCCATTCTGGTTGTTTTCAGATCCTCGTTGCATATTTTAATGCGGAGCAGCCTGCTATATCATAGTTATGTAAGCGATCACTCATTATTTTCAAAAATCATGAGCGTTCTTCTACATTGGCTGCATGTAAAACCCTTTCTTCCACACGCTTGTGTTTTATTTTAGCCTAGGCGTCCTCCCAGGACTTCTAAGACACTACTGGTCAAACCCGGTCAGTGCGCCAACTCGGATGACGATATACCCACATGGCCGTCTGATCGCCCACGTGAATTGCAACGGAAGTTGATAAAGCAGTCCTTCTCAGACTTTACCTATCTCTCTAAAATGTATTGTGATGAAAGTGAGGGCCATTTGTTTTCCAAAAATCGTTGTCCTTTATCATCTTACTGATTAGGGAATGAGGGTTGCATTTATCAATTTTAGATCGCAGAATGGAAGAATTCAAACGCGGGACAGCAGGATTTGTCCGTAAGTTTGTTTGGTTGATCACCTTACGTGCCCTTCGCAAATAAAATTCTCGGTGTATGCCAGCCTGGATGGCTACTGCATACCTATTATTTGAAAACAGTTTAATGTTGGCTTCATATTTTGCAGCTGCTGACGGCCCGGCAATGTGTCCTTGTTGTAAAACTTGCCCCGTCGTCATTGAAACAAAGTGGTCCCGGCATTGAAAGGATCGCAGCAACGGTTACTTTAAACGAATTAGCGGTGTCTAACTATCACATCATTTACTACGTCCTTACTGCGATTCATACCGTCATCATGCTGAACCGAATTTCTTACTATTTAATGCAGTGGACTTGCGCTCTGCATACTTAAAATGACTGTGTAGACTCAGGGTCATTTTAGTGTGCAGTCATTAAGTAATGTCGCTGAACCTTTTGTAAGGGCATGTAGAATAGGTAAAAATAATAAAAAGTTAATACCATAAACCACCGACCTTTGGGCAGTAGCTATTCATTCTACATGCAAACGGAATATATGTCAGATGAATCCCATAATGCGTTTTGTGGTGGCATTGATTTTGCACTCTTTGTATTTACTCCTGCTCATCTTCTGACAGCACATACCGCCCTATTCCTCTCGCTGACTCGTATTCTTAAATATCATAATTCTGCCTGTAATCCGAGGGCGCGGTTTCAATCCTGTGTAGGGACCAGGCGACCCACGCAGTATCTTTAGCTCACATGTGACTAGTGATGGTTGCGCGGCAGCGTAGGGTCGGTACTGTGTACCGGCGTACTGCTGATGCCTTCTCCTTCTTCACTCTAATCCTTCTTTTAAGGAGTTATTTCCCATGACGTCGAGTTTTCACAATCATTGATTGATAGACTACTCGATGTAAATGATGGCTGGCTCAAAGTGCAGCAGATTGCCCATCTAGGAAAAAGAATGGAGGGCAAAAGTCGGCCTATGATGGTGACTTTGTCGAAGAAGCAATTCCCAATTTACTCTTGTCCCGTCTTCATAGGCTGAAGGGTCTAAAGATCCACATGCGCGCTGACTTAGACCCGGCAGACAGAGAGTAACTCAAGTCTGCTATGATTGCACTACAGCGACGCACGGAGGATGGAGAACCAAATCTCCGTATTGTAAATTTTCGGGTAGTTGCTCAGACTCCTCCACGAATCCGAATTAACAGGTTTCTAATCGTTTAGGCGCGCCCAGCAGTTCCTACCGGGGTCTGCGCGTAGCCTTTAATAACGTATGCAGTCTGAGGAACAAGCGCGATGTGCTGTACGACTTTGTAAGCTCTCAGCGACCAGATATATTAGTCCTTGCTGAGGCTTGGTTAAACTCCGAGATTTCTGTCCAAGACGTGGAAATCACCAGCTACTTATGCTTCCACTGTGATAGACCATTAAGTGATCGCGGTGGCGTTTTACTTTACATAAAGTCTTCCTTATGTGGGAGACTAGTGAGCGCCTACCAAAGCGCTTATGATCTATGTGAGCAGTTATGGTGTTCGATCCACCTCAGACGCTGCGAGTTACTCGTGGGCGTGGTATATCGCAGTCCATTGAGCCGCAGTTTGGACTGGTTGACGCATGTCCGCAACCACATGAGTCGTCAGATTTTCCTACTCATGAATGATTTCAACTTTCCCCGAATACAGTGGTCTGAAGCTAAATTTCTCTCCGGCCACTGTGAAGCCGAGAGGAAGTTTACGGAGTTGCTATTTGAAACCGGGGCCACACAGCACATCAACCAACCGACACGCATAACTGCGCGCGCGACTCCATCATGTTTTGACCTGCTTTTGACTAGCTGTGAGCAGCATGTGCAAAACATTCAAGTTTTAGAGCGTCTGGGAGCGAGCGACCAATTGGTGCTCATAGGCAGCTTGGAACAACCACTGTCGTATTCTTCCCCACTGGAGCCAGCCATCAACATATTGGAAGGCGGACTTTAATGGCCTCATTCGAGCAGCGAGCCAAAAATACTGGTCTTTACCACAGGATTTTATCAATTGAAACCAGTTGGACTATTATTAAAGAGGGAGTGAAATCGTTGTGCTCCCGATTTGTACCTCGCAAATTTCGGAAAGTTGGGCCAGTCAAACCACACTGGTTCGACAAAGAGTACAAAATATTGGCCCGACGACGACGCAGACTATGGAACAAATTTGTGTTCTCTGGCTCTCATGAGGAATACAATGCGTACAAAGTACAACGAAATCGCTGCAACAAAGCGAAAACAAGAAAACGCAGAAGCCTCGAAGAGAAGCTTGCAACCGCCGCAAAAACTGCTCCCAAGAGGATCTTCGCATACGTGATGCGGCGCCTGAGGCCTGTAGTCAATATTCCAGTGTTAGAAGGCTCAGAAGGACAGCTCGTAACCTCGAGTATAGATAGTGTGTCCGCATTGGCGGCGCACTTCGCCTCCGTATTTGCAAGTGACCAGGTGTCTGTAACGAGTTCGATGAATACCGCTCCAGGCGAACTTAACAGCCTGGACTGCAATATTGAGGATGTACGCAAGCTTCTAGCAAATCTTGACGGGACGAAGCCTGCTGTGCCAGATGGTATACACCCACTGATCCTCAAGTCCCTATCGGCTATCATCGCGCCTTCTGTATCTGAACTGTTTAACAGGTCACTATCCACTGTACTGTTACCGGACGACTGGAAATGCTCAGTCGTGAAGCCCATACCGAAAGGTGGTAACCCAAGTAAAGTGGATAACTACCGGCCGATCTGCCTGACCGCTGTTTTGGCAAAGCCGCTCGAGAAGATCGTGAAGAAGAGCCTACTGCAGCTTCTCGAGTCGAAAAACCTGTTGACCTCCGCACAGCATGGTTTCATAAAAGGTCGCTCGTGTATCACCAAGCTACTGTTGACGAGGCACGAATGGTTACAAGTGCTGAACCAAAGCCATTCGGTCGATGTCATTTACATTGACTTCAGTAAGGCTTTGACAAGGTTAACCATGCAGTGTTCCTTGACAGGCTGTGGATGTGCGGTGTTGGTGGTTCGCTACACAAATGGATCAGAAATGTCCCTGTTGATCGAAAGTGGAGGGTCCAGGCGGACAACCATCTAACTGATTGGTATCCATCGAGCAGCGGCGTGCCCCAAGGCACTGTACTGGGCCGATATTGTTTCTGATCCATGTAAACGATGTGCGTCAGCTACTCCAATCCCCTTGTGCGTTGTTCGCAGATGACTTGAAGGTGTGGAGAGTAATCCGCACACTCAATGATTGTGATTTACTTCAGCAGGACCTCGACCGCCTCTCGACATGGTCTGCAGAGGTTAACCTTCCGATCAACCCTGCCAAGTCGCAATTTATGAGGTTAGGTAAGTGTGAGCACAGCCGAACGTACACAGTGGCTGGTCAACCGTTGCATCCCGCGTCTTTCGTGCGCGACCTCGGTGTGCTCTCACGCTGCGATCTAAAGTCCGTTGACAACAATAATAGGCTGTACCAAAACAGCCTTCTGATGCTTTGGGCGCTCAGGCGCAGCTTCAGCACTTGGTCCGAAGAGATTGCTACTCGCGTCTTCGTCTCGTTAATACGACCATTGCTGGAGTACGGCTCTACCGCGTATTGTCCCATCACGCTGGGCCAGGTAGAAAAGCTTGAGCAGGTGCAGCATGTAGCCACTAGGCTTATTCCCAACTTACGAGGTATGCCATATGTAGACCGATATAAGAAACTAGGGCTGTACACCCTAATTTATCGTCGGCTGAGGGTTGACCTCATCATGACGCACCGGATATTACATCTGAGTGATTACCCCATTTTGAGACAACTGCTTCATTTGCACACACCAAGCAGCACGCGAGGACACCGGTATAAACTTATCGTACCGAACTTGATGGGGGCCGCTCACCAACTCTGTTTCGAACGCAGATTGGTGAATGTCTGGAACGACCTGCCGCAGCAGGTAGTAGAGGCTAACTCAGTGTCTGAAATTAAGAAGCTCCTAGACAGACATTTTGCAGTGGCAATATATAAAGAGCGGAACGATAAATAAGGCGTATATGTCTAAGAGCGACGAATGATGCAGCTACACAGAGAAAGCTCTACTCGCTGCTTCAAACCAGTATTCAGTATTCAGCATTCAGTATTGACTAGGATTCCATTAATTATATCCACTTTTACAGCTCTTGTGCTTGAAGTTATGCATACAAGATTATCGGCTTATTGCTAGTTAACCAACCACACTATTGTGTCCTATATCGTAACCTTTTGACCGCACATTAAGCCTGGACTCGATTATACGCGATACTTTCTGAGTGGGTACGGAAGAATTTGTGATCTATTGTTATCTCATCCTTAGCACGCAGCTTGTGCACATCCAAGCGTGGCTTTCTGCCCTAGGCTGTAAGTCACACACGCCTCTATTAACCAGCTAAACAATCCGCCTAAGTAGTTGCTCATGCGGATGGATGAGCAACTACTATATTTCCAAAATGCTGACCTAGGAATAGGTGATGATCCGCACCATGGGCAAGTGATCAGAAACATTCAACTAGCAGTTCAACCATGACGCGACATGGAATCATATGTGCTTCTAGAGAAGGGTGGCAATGTGTTTAAGATGAGGATAACGTGATTAAATAACTTTAGATCGCTCCGTTCTAAATTTGTCAGCAAGTCCTCCTAAGACTGGACGCAGCACAACAAAGTAGCCAACTTAGTGAATCATTACAGTTGTCATGAAGACGTTCGAGAGGTTGACATAGGCAATCGTGCGCTTGATGGGTACCAAGATTTTACCTTACAAACTGGATATAACGTAGATGTTATTTCAACCAACTAATTTCAGCTCCGCTTCTAGGCCGACGAAGAGAGTCGGTATTCGAGCCGTACTACAGTGTCTGTCTTCAAACCTTCCGACAAATTTTACTCCCCAAAACGGATAAAAATCTAGTATGTCTGTTTACCTTCCTTGCAGCGATGCAGCACACATTAAGTCAGCGGTGATGATAGTAGTGTCGGGACATATGCAGCTCACCACC